GCAAAAAAAGTGTGTCAATATGAATATCTTGCTGTAAAGTTAACTTTTGATTTTGCTTTTTTTACTACTGTTTTTTTTGATTTTGTTCGTTTTTTTTTAAAAAAGATTAGATACTTAGAAACAGTTTTTAAAATAAATTTACAGACAAAAGAAGCAGTAGAAGGATAATTCATCTGCTTAATCTTAGGTTCAAATAAAGTACAGTAATTTAAAATTTTTGGTTTACCGAGTACTTGTTTAGAACTGAATTTTACTGTACCCGTTAAGTTGCTTATTGTCTTATAGTTTCTTGTACAAGACCGTAATAGCTTAAATCAGTTCTCTACAGCTATAGTAAACTAGAGCTAATTTTAGGCAAGACTGAGTTGCATTTGTTTGAAGAAGAACTGCTGTCAAACACAAAACGGTTGCTGGAAGTGTTAAATATCTGTGACTAGTTCACAATTTTACACTTTTAGAAGAGTGCTATAAGACAACAGAAATGTGCTTAGCAAAGAATGACTAGAAGAAAGAGATGAATTATTACTGCAGTATAGAAAAGTATATATAAGGCATAAAATAATAACGTATATAATAACGTTTATAGTATATTTGAACAAATAAGATTCTGATTTACCAAAACAAGAGCTGTAGACGTTTAGACAGATTTTTTTCTTTTTACAGGTAGTTGCTACTGATGTTTGTAGCCAACATTTAGCTTAGTTCTACAAAAACCCAAGTTTTAAGCAGCAAAAATTTGTTGGAAGAAAGAACTGAGTTTTTTTCACATAAAAAAACTCAATACTTTTTTTACTGACAAAAAAATTTCTTTAGTTTATCTGTTGTGCATTAGACCAAAGTCTTCGCAACTTGTGATAGTTTTTTTTTGATGCAGTAATAAAAGTAATACTTTAATTTTAATCTTTAATAAAAACAAGAAAAAAAAATAAAGCTTATTAATACAGAAAAGTAGTTCTTATTTAATTGGTTCAAAAAGCAAAATTTCATTAATTTTTCCTCTGTTCGTCTTCGACACCGCATACTTATCTGTCTGCATTACTTATAGTTATAGTTTTTAAATTTCTGAAGAAGAAAGATACATATCTATTGCCTTTGATAGAAAAGCATTTTTTAAAGCAATAACGCAGGAACACATCGACAGCGTTTAAAGTTTGCTAGCATAGTTTTAAGCTGTAATCATTAAAAACAAAGCACTTTTTCTCTTTTAACTTATATGCAGTAACGGCAAATGGTTTGACTGAAAATCACGATTGCCATCATAACCATGGTTTTTTTTTCTTTTAACGTATCAGCTGAAACCACTCAGAACTTTGTGTTGCTGATTTTGTCATACAGACGAAGATTAAAAGAAAGTGTACGATAAGTTTTAGAAAAAAAAAGGTTACATCAAAAATGTAACCCTGTAAAAGGTTCAGTGCTAAATTACAGTTTGTCTTTGTACATTGGCCACTGAATCATTGTGTTTTTCCCCCCCCCCCCCCCCCCCCCCCCC